TTATGGCCAAGTCAAGGTTGGATGGTCATTGATGACCTCATCAAACCTCGATTTGGAGCCATTTTGGGTCAATTTGGGGCAACTCTTGAGGTTCTCCATAATCCTATGGATCTCCCTTGGCTATGGGGCGCACTTGGGGGTCAGCTATGGGGCAGGGAGGTAGTTATGGGACAGTGGGGTTGGATTTATGGCCAAGTCAAGGTTGGATGGTCATCGATGACCTCATCAAACCTCAATTCGGGGCCATTTTGGGTGGATTTCTGCCTAGTTTTGAGGTTCTCCATGGTCCCATGGATCTCCCTTCGCTATGGGGCGGGCTATGGGGCAGGGAGGGGGATTATGGGGCAGTGGGGTTGGATTTATGGCCAAGTCGAGGTTGGATGGACCATGATGACCTCAGATGGTCATCGATGACATCATCAAACCCTGATTTGGGGCCATTTTGGGGGGATTTTGGGCACCTCTTGAGGTTCTCCATGGTGAGATGGATCTCCCTTGGCTATGGGGCGCACTTGGGGGTCAGCTATGGGGCAGGGAGGTGGGTTATAGGGCAGTGGGGTTGGATTTATGGCCAAGTTGAGGTTGGATGGTCATCGATGACCTCACCAAACCCCGATTTGGGGCCATTTTGGGTGAATTTTGGGCGAATTAGGGGCACCTCTTGAGGTTCTCCACCATCCCCCGGATCTCCCTTGGCTATGGGGCGCACTTGGGGGTCAGCTATAGGGCCAGGAGGAGGGTGATGGGGCAGTGGTCGCTCCCCAGGACGCGGGAGCGGATCTTGCTGTCGCAGAGCGCCCCCTCCAGGCGACGGGAGAGGAGGAAATAATCCAACCTCCAACCCACGTTACGCTCCCGGGCGCCCCCTAAGTAGGTCCAGAAGGTGTAGGCGTGGGGCAGGGTGGGGTAGAGGTGACGGAAGGAATCCAAGAAGCCCGACTCCAGGAGCTGCCCCATCCCCTCCCGCTCCTCCAGGGTGAAGCCGGCCGAGCGGCGGTTGGCCTTGGGGTGGCAGAGGTCCAGCTCCTGGTGGGCCACGTTGAGGTCCCCGCAAAGGGCCACGGGCTTGAGGGCGTCCAAGCGGGTGAGGTAACCCCTGAAGGCCGCGTCCCAGCGGCGCCGATAGTCCAGGCGCACCAGGCCCCGCCCCGAGTTGGGGACGTAGGCGGCCACCACGTAGAGGGAAGGGAACTCGGCCGTCACCACCCGGCCCTCGCGGTCGTGCTCCTCCTCACCTGGGGGGGGAGAGAGGGGAAGGGGGTGAGTGGGAGGGAGTAGGAGGCAACTGGGAGCAACTGGAGGCAACTGGGAGGAAGTAGGAGGCAACTGGAGGCAACTGGGAGCAACTGGAGGCAACTGGGAGCAACTGGAGGCAACTGGGAGCAACTGGAGGCAACTGGGAGCAACTGGAGGCAACTGGGAGCAACTGGAGGCAACTGGGAGCAACTGGAGGCAACTGGGAGCAACTGGAGGCAACTGGGAGCAACTGGAGGCAACTGGGAGCAACTGGAGGCAACTGGGAGCAACTGGAGGCAACTGGGAGCAACTGGAGGCAACTGGGAGCAACTGGAGGCAACTGGGAGCAACTGGAGGCAACTGGGAGCAACTGGAGGCAACTGGGAGCAACTGGAGGCAACTGGGAGCAACTGGAGGCAACTGGGAGCAACTGGAGGCAACTGGGAGCAACTGGAGGCAACTGGGAGGAAGTAGGAGGCAACTGGAAGCAGCAAAAGTCAACGGGAAGGTCAACTGGGGTCAACCAGGGTCAATTGGGAGGGAGTAGGAGGCAACTGGGAAGGAGTAGGAGGCAACTGGAAGCAGCAAAAGTCAACAGGAAGAACCCAAAGTCAACGGGAAGGTCAACTGGGGTCAACTGGGGTCAACTGGGAGGGAGTAGGAGGCAACTGGAGGCAACTGGGAGGGAGAATGAGGCAACTGGAAGAGCCAAAAGTCAACGGGAAGAACCAAAAGTCAACGGGAAGGTCAACTGGAGGCAACTGGGGTCAACTGGGAGGGAGTAGGAGGCAACTGGGGTAACCAAAAGTCAACTGGAAGAACCCAAAGTCAACGGGAAGAACCAAAAGTCAACTGGAAGGTCAACTGGGGGCAACTTGGAGGGAGTAGGAAGCAACTGGAAGAACCAAAGGTCAACGGAAAGCAGCAGAAGTCAACTGGAAGGTCAACTGGGGGCAATCGGGGTCAACTGGGAGGGAGTAGGAAGCAACTGGAAGAACCCAAAGTCAACTGGAAGAACCAAAAGTCAACGGGAAGAACCAACAGTCAACGGGAAGGTCAACTGGGGGCAACTGGAGTCAACTGGGAGAGAGTAGGAGGCAAGTGGGGTCAACTGGAAGAATCAAAGGTCAACTGGAAGCAACAAAAGTCAACTGGAAGGTCAACTGGAGGCAACCGGGGTCAACTGGGAGGGAGTAGGAGGCAACTGGAAGAACCAAAGGTCAACGAGAAGAACCAAAAGTCAACGGGAAGCAGCAAAAGTCAACTGGGAGGTCAACTGGGGTCAACTGGGAGGAAGTTGGAGGCAACTGGGGGCAACTGGGGGTGACTGGGAGGGAGGAGGCAGCCCCTGAAGGCCGCGTCCCAGCGGCACCGATAGTCCAGGCGCACCAGGCCCCGCCCCGAGTTGGGGACGTAGGCGGCCACCACGGAGAGGGAAGGGAACTCGGCCGTCACCACCCGGCCCTCGCGGTCGTGCTCCTCCTCACCTGGGGGGAGAAAAAGGGGTTGGGGAGGGGCTGGAGGTGAGTAGAAGGCAACTGGGGGGGACTGGAGTCAATTGGGGTCAACTGGGAGGGAGCTGGAGGCAACTGGGGTCAACTGGAGTCAACTGGGAGGGAGTAGGAGGCAACTGGAAGCAGCAAAAGTCAACTGGAAGAACCCAAAGTCAACGGGAAGAACCAAAAGTCAACGGGAAGGTCAACTGGAGACAACCGGGGTCAACTGGGAGGGAGTAGGAGGCAACTGGAAGCAGCAAAATTCAACTGGAAGAACCCAAGGTCAACGGGAAGAACCAAAAGTCAATGGGAAGGTCAACTGGAAGCAACTGGGGTCAACTGGGAAGGGAGTAGGAGGCAACTGGAAGAACCAGAAGTCAACTGGAAGAACCCAAAGTCAACGGGAAGCAGCAAAAGTCAACTGGAAGGTCAACTGGGGGCAACCGGGAGGGAGTAGAAGGCAACTGGAAGAACCCAAAGTCAACGGGAAGAACCAAAAGTCAATGGGAAGGTCAACTGAAGGCAACCGGGGTCAACTGGGAGGGAGTAGGAGGCAACTGGAAGAACCCAAAGTCAACGGGAAGCAGCAAAAGTCAACTGGAAGGTCAACTGGAGGCAACTGGGGTCAACTGGGGGGAATGGGAGGCAACTGGGGTCAACTGGGAGGAAGTAGGAGGCAACTGGGAGGGAGTAGGAGGCAACTGGGGTCAACTGGAAGAACCCAAAGTCAACGGGAAGAACCAAAAGTCAACTGGAAGAACCCAAAGTCAACGGGAAGAACCAAAAGTCAACTGGAAGAACCCAAAGTCAACGGGAAGAACCAAAAGTCAACTGGAAGAACCCAAAGTCAACGGGAAGAACCAAAAGTCAACTGGAAGAACCCAAAGTCAACGGGAAGAACCAAAAGTCAACTGGAAGAACCCAAAGTCAACGGGAAGCAGCAAAAGTCAACGGGAAGGTCAACTGGAGGCAACTGGGGTCAACTGGGAGGGAGTAGGAGGCAACTGGGAGGAACTGGGGTCAACTGGGAGCAACCGGGAGGCAACTTATGGGTCCCGGGGGGCACTTATGGGTCAGGAGAAGGGATTCTGAGCCGGTTCCTGAAGGTTTTAGGTCCTTCAAGGTGGGATTTGGAGCCCGTGGGGCCACTTGTGGGTCCCGGGGGGTTAGTTATGGGTCAGGGGGACGTAGTTATGGGTCTGGTGGGTTAGTTATGGGTCTGGGGGTTCCACTTATGGGTCACAGGGGGCACTTATGGGTCAGGAGAAGGGATTCTGAGCAGGTTCTTGAAGGTTTGAGGTCCTTCAAGGTGGGATTTGGAGCCCGAGGGGCCACTTGTGGGTCCTGGGGGGGCACTTGTGGGTCAGGGGGAGGTAGTTATGGGTCCGGGGGGTTAGTTATGGGTCACGGGGGTCAACTTATGGGTCACAGGGGGGCACTTATGGGTCAGGAGAAGGGATTCTGAGCAGGTTCTTGAAGGTTTGAGGTCCTTCAAGATGAGATTTGGAGCCCGAGGGGCCACTTGTGGGTCCCGGGGGGGCACTTGTGGGTCAGGGGGAGGTAGTTATGGGTCCGGAGGATTAGTTATGGGTCACAGGGAACACTTATGGGTCTGGAGAAGAGATTCTGAGCTGGTTCTTGAAGGTTTGAGGTCCTTCAAAGGGGAATTTGGAGCCCGAGGGGCCACTTGTGGGTCCTGGGGGGGCACTTGTGGGTCAGGGGGAGGTAGTTATGGGTCACAGGGAGGTAGTTATGGGTCTGGAGAGTTAGTTGTGGGTCAGGAGAAGGGATTCTGAGCCGGTTCCTGAAGGTTTGAGGTCCTTCAAGATGGGATTTGGAGCCCAAGGGGCCACTTGTGGGTCCCGGGGGGGCACTTATGGGTCAGGGGGAGGTAGTTATGGGTCCGGGGGGTCCACTTATGGGTCTCACCGATGCCGTAGGTGACGCTGAGGGGCTCGTGCCGCGCCAGCAGCCCCACACCGCTGTAGCCGGGGCGCCCCTCGGGGCTGGCCCAGAACTGGTGGGGCAGGTCGGGGAGGGCACGGAGCTCGGGGGGCACGGCCTGCGCCCCACATTTCGTCTCCTGGAGGCACAGGACGTCGGGGGCCTCCTCCTTGACCCACTGCGATATGGGGCAGAGAGAACACGGGTCCTCCTCTGCCCCATAGATGGAGGTCCCAGCCCCATAGATGCGAAATCAGCCCCAAAAACCCTGTTTCAGGCTCAAAAATAGGGATTCCAGCCCCATAGATGGGGGTCCCACCCCCCACCACTTATGGGTCTCACCGATGCCGTAGGTGACGCTGAGGGGCTCGTGCCGCGCCAGCAGCCCCACACCGCTGTAGCCGGGGCGCCCCTCGGGGCTGGCCCAGAACTGGTGGGGCAGGTCGGGGAGGGCGCGGAGCTCGGGGGGCACGGCCTGCGCCCCACATTTCGTCTCCTGGAGGCACAGGACGTCGGGGGCCTCCTCCTTGACCCACTGCGATATGGGGCAGAGAGAACACGGGTCCTCCTCTGCCCCATAGATGGAGATCCCAGCCCCATAGATGCCAGATCGGCCCCAAAAAACCACGTTTTGGCCTCAAAAATAGGGGTCCCAGCCCCATAGATGTGGGTTCCAGCCCCATAGATGTGGGTCCCACCCCCCATAAGTGGGTCCCAGCCCCCCATAAGTGGGTCCCAGCCCCATAGATGTGGGTCCCAGCCCCATAGATGCCAGAGCAACCCCCAAAAAACCACGTTTTGGCCTCAAAAATGGCCATTCCACATAGATGTGAGGTCACCCCCCAAAAACCCCATTTTGGCCTCAGAAATAGGAATCCCAGCCCCATAGATGTGGGTCTCAGCCCCATAGATGTGGGTCCCACCCCCCATATGGGGGTCCCAGCCCCATAGAAATGGGGCCCAGCCCCCATAAGTGGGTCCCAGCCTCCAGATGTGGGTCTTGCCCCATAGATTTGCATCCCAGCCCCATAGAATTGGGTCCCAG